GCTCACAATGCGCAGCTTCACGCAGCTATCTCGGTTGCTGCGGTTGCCTCCGCCGTAGCAGCCATTGCGGCCGCCACCGCAGCTTCTTCTTCGTCCCCCACCTCGGGCAAAAACGAACAGTCTGCGAAGACCGACATGGCCGTCGCATCAGCTGCAACATTAGTAGCCGCGCAATGCGTGGAGGCCGCAGAAGCTATGGGAGCTGAACGTTGTCATCTTGCTTCGGCCGTGAGCTCCGCCGTTAACGTTCGTTCCCACGATGATATTGCCACACTCACCGCCGCTGCAGCTACAGGTAAAAAGAATCTGTCTTTCTAATGACCCGACCTTCATCTTAAACAAATCAGACCCGAACTCGAGATTGACCGGAGAATTTTGTTTCCTTTCAGCTTTACGTGGGGCAGCGACTTTAAAGGCAAGGGCACTAAAGGAAGTATGGAACATAGCAGCGGTACTTCCATTGGAAAAAGGAGTAACCGGCGGATTGTGTGGTAAAGGAAATAATTCTGGTCATTGGAACCGTAACTGTAGCGGAGAACTCGCCGCCGGAGATCCTCTCCTCACTGCCTGTACACAAGAGCTCCTTGCCAAGGGTAGTGAACTCCTCAAAAGAACCCGCAAAGGTCAGAAAAAATCTTCATTTTAGCAATATGATTACACATTTTCTAGAAATATAATTACAAAATAATCATGTTTATATAAAAACAGGTGATCTTCACTGGAAAGTTGTATCTGTTTATATGAATAGGACGGGCCAGGTACTCATTGATTACTCTTAGCACACCAGTATACGTACGTATGTATGTATGTAGACTGAATTGCTTTTTCTTTCTGAAGGTGATTTTGAAGATGAAAAGCAAGCATGTGGCTGGGACATTTACTAAGAAGAAAAGAGTAAGTTTTAGTGCTGATGTGGTACGGTAACCAAAGATTACAGGATTGCTTTGGGAATAAACGGAGTTTCTGTTTTGTGGGTGGGTTTCAGATGTGGTTTTGGAGGTGTGTAGGGGCATGCCGGCATGGCCGGGGAGGCCACTATTCGACGGCGGAGAGCAGCGTCGCTACTTTGGATTGAAGACCGAAATAAGGGGAACCGTGGAGTTCGAATGCAGGAGTCAAAGGGAATACGAAATGTGGACTGAAGGTGTATCAAAGCTTCTCTCCATCGCTGCTGAAAGAAATCATAAGAGCCAAAGCTCAACTACATGGCATCATGGCGGCGGCAAGAGTTGGGACTAATTCGCTTATTTCTCTCCACTCAAACCTCCATTTGCTTGTAGTTGTAGGTGCTCAATGCAAACCAATGGGCAAATATCTAATTATGCCATAAACCACTAGTATTTTTCTTCCAAAAATTGGTATATTTACTGAGTTGACAATGCTTTGCTTCCAAAAATTGGTATGCGTGTGTTATGTTAATAATTGGATTTAGATTTTTAAATCGTAAAAGGATTTACTTTTTAAATTTTCAAATACGAATACTAAATCTCATATGTTAGTGATCGAAAGCATATTTTAGCCTTTAGCAAAACCCTTAGCCAATACATTAATGTAAATTGCTGGTAAAATTGTCACCTCTCCGTGAACTTTGGTTAACTTCATGACAGTATTTGTGTTCTCTATCACTTCAAATGTGTTTGTTGATTTCTTAATGATTTACTTATGAAGTTGGTATGATTGAATGAATATGTTGTGTATAATTTATTTTACATAGTTTATTTGTTGTAAATTAAATTCTAAAATCTAAAACACTAAATATAATATATGATTAAATGATATATTAAGAACTATCTTTAAGTATTAATTTCATATTTATCATTTTAAAATGAAGAATAATATATGGTTAAATGATATTTTTTCTACAACTGACATTGTGAGAATATTAATACTTAAAATTATTGTTTTAATAACTTCTCAAAAGCTTATATTTTTAGATGATTCAATCATACTTAAACATAATAATAATAATAATAATAATAATAATAATAATAATAATAATAATAATAATAATAATAATAATAATAATAATAATGAGGACTCATATTTTGATCGCATCGCTAAACAAACCACCAAAGAGATCAAGTTATTGAAATACTAACGACAAACCGTAAACCAAACTCGAGTGACGTAAAAAACTATCCACAAACGTAAATCGGGTATTAAATCCAATTTGAGGGTACAAGCAGGGAATATAAGCAAGATATCATATAAGCGTGTCATCTTGATCAGCCGTGGCGATTTCAAATCAACTATTAGAAAAAAGATAAATGAAAAAAACAAAACATCTGAAAAACATGCCAAAAACATAAGAATGTGTGCCGTAAAGGTAGATAAAAACGTGTCATACAGACATACTTATTAAAATCAAAAAAATAAAAGAAAATAGAGATATAATATATAAAAGAAAAAGACATTAAAAATATCAACGGTGGACAACCAACGATAAAGTTGACGCTGTAGCATATCAATAAAAAAAATAAACGACACATCAATAAGAAAAAAATTAAATTTTTTCAATAAAGTATCTTGTTTCCCATTTTTCTCTCCGATAAATGGTAACGTATATCATATATCTTATTGAACGAAATAAATACATTAATTAAAAATATCATAAATAATATTATAAAATAATATTATTTAAACTATTAAAAAAAGAAAAAGAGATTATTTTTGATTTAAATAACTTTTTAAAGAAATAAATTAAATATAAATAAAAGTTAAAATATTTAATATATCATTTATTATTTTCATTAAAATTAATCTATCAAAATAGTAACATATCATGACATGTACCCATTTTATTGGATAGAAAAATGGTGTAACTTTGTCTATCAAAGTGATTCCTTGCTTGGAAATGGAATGACCTCGATTGTTCCATTCTTCCACTTTTGCTGTATTTATGTAACTTTTGTCTCTACCACAGCTTCCTTTCTTATGAAGAACAAAAAATGGGGTCTAGAAACATTAGTGAAGAAAAATAACTGATCTAATGTGCCATGAAAGTTGAATGGAACACCGTTATAAGCATATACAAGAACGATCCCTCGGTTCATGTGGCTAAGATCATAAGATCAGGCGACACCGTATTGCACATCGCCGTCCAACGTCCAAGAAGCCGTCGTAGAACGGCTAGTGGATTTGGTTTCGGCACACGACGAACCACGAAAAGCCTTGGAAATCCGGAACGAGGGGGAATACCCTGCTGCACGTCGCAGCTTCTCTAGGGAACGTAAGGATGTGTCAATGCCTCGTGAGAGTGGACCCATTGTTGCTCGAGATTCGGAACTACGACGGAGAAACATCGATGTTCGTGGCCGCTCAACACGGCAAGAAGGGCGCTTTTCTTTGCCTTAACTCTTACTGTCAAAGTCCGGAAGAAGGGTATTCATATTGCAGAAGAGAGGGAGGTGAAAATGTTCTTCACTGTGCCATATCAGGAGACTATTTTGGTAAAATTCCCACAACTCTTTTAAACATATTAACATATTTGTGTTAACTCTAATGTGCTTCACAGATTTGGCATTTCAAATCATTTACCTTTATCAAGATCTTGTTAATTACGAAAACGATAATGGAATATCAGCCCTGCATCTCTTGGCTAGCGCCCAACCGCCTTCCGAAGCGGTAGCCATCTCGGTCGTTTCAGCCAGCTTATCTATCGTTGTAAGTGCTATTCATTAGTCTAGAGATACACATATTCAAGTGATCGACATTGTCGATTTTGTTTGGAAGGTATAATCGTCGAACTACTTAAGGTGAAATCATCATTTCGACAATCTGCAAGCTATGGCCAATCTAAGGAATCCAAAGAAAGGATGATGAGAAATAGTTACCCGGCAATTACCAAACATGCACTTGTTGCACCTGCTAAAGCAGCTGGTTCAAGTAGGTATGCTAACGAGACCGGTAGAAGCCGGGATAGGTATTAAAATACGGTCTTAATGTCATGTCGTCGACACTTTTTATGGTTCATTTGAACAACGTTATTACATTTTGCAGTGACAAAAAGTTCACGGAACACAAACAAGGGAGGAGATGCGGTTGATAACCTTGAAGCCCCTAATGTCGCCCCCGGTGCTGAAAGGTAAGCAATCCATTGTCTGCAATACATGAATTTGATGCTAAAACAAAAGGGAATTGAAAATAAATATAGAACTTCGACGCCTAATAAACAATAGGACCGAGAATCGAAACTGCAACAAGCGAATGAGTTCAAATTAAGAAACACAAAGGCACCTAGCAACCTCGGAAATCATCCGGCACATCTAAGCACGCGATCACAAAGGAATATATCAAAAAGATTATGCAGCCTAACCCTGTCTAGCTCTGCAATCTGCAGGCATCTAATGGAAGAAATCTTGTTTTGTACTTGTACAGGAGACAAAAGGCGCTACGGAGATGGACATCAATTCGTTCTTCCCAATTATGTCACCTTCATTGATTTCCTCAAGTTGTTATCCAGAGCAATTTTGGTTATAATCGGATTAGGTAGGTCGAACTAGACCGGATATTCGGTCTTTCTACTCGCTCACGAAAGGTAACATTTCTTTGATAATTCATTAATGTTGTTTGTTCACAAGGATCGCAGAGAATTAGGAAGTTAAGGGAGAACATTAGTGGGGCACACACATGAATGTTACGAATAATTTTCTGTAACATTGCAAAATTGACTGATTGGCAGGAGAAAAGGAGAAAACCAAAGAAGCGGCGGAAAGAGAGACGGCCATTGATCGCGGCAAAGAGCGGAATCACAGAAATGGTGGATGAAATCCTACAACGTTTTCCGGTGGCGATCCATGAAACAAACTCGGAAAAAAAGAACATAGTGTTGCTTGCGGTGGAGAACCGGCAACCTCACGTATACAAGCTCTTGCTTAATAAAAACATCATGAAAGACAGCATTTTCCGAGCGGTGGATCGTAACGGAAATAGTGCAATGCACCTTGCCGCAATGCTGGGTGACCACAGGCCTTGGCTCATCCCTGGCGCAGCTTTACAAATGCAATGGGAAATCAAGTGGTATGAGGTATGATCATGCTTACATTTGATTTAATTTATAATTGATCATAATTTTGACACCATGACCATTTTTTTGTGAAGCACTACATGCCTGCCCACTTCTTCGCTACAAGGACAACAAGACCCCAAGGACATATTCACCGAGACACACAAACACCTCGTTGCCAAGGGTGGCAAATGGCTAACCTATTGCGGAAGACGATTATCGGATAGAGTAAAATCGCAACTGATAATTTGAGAAAATAAAAATGGAGATAAAGAAGACATAAAATTTACGTGGAAAACCCCTAAATAATATAGGGTAAAAACCACGGGCAACGGTGGAAGAATTTCACTATGAGAAAATAGGAATTACAACCTCTCTTGATCTACCAAGGAGAAAACAATGATAATTCTCTCTTGATAAAAAAGGAGAAAACAACTCTCAAGAAACTCTCTAAATTCTCTCTAGGATTGGAAGAAAGCTAGAATGCTTTGGGATGGTTTTGAAGCTAAATGAGCTAGGGTATTATAGTTGAAACTTAAGGACTAGTATTGTAAATACCCTAAAAGTACAATGACTAAATGTGTAGTTTTACCATCTATTTTTTTATCAATTTGGTGGCCAAATTTGACCACTAGCCGCCCCACTTGTTGAACCAAATAATTCAGCCGTTTTTGTTTACTTTCAACAATCTCACACTTGAAGATTTGATTGGAACAATAATATCTTTACACCGTTCTTTCTATCTTGTACCTTCATGTTGCTTACGTCTCTGACAGGCCACAAGAGGATCGACACCAGGTAAATTTATCAACATTGATCGCCTTTGTCATGAAATCTGCTATGTTGTCTTTGGTATGGATCTTCTGCATATCTACCGTTCCTTCTTCCACCTTTTCACGAATGAAATGGTGCTGAACCCGTATGTGCTTTGTCCTTGAATGAAATGTTGGATTTCTTGCTAGATGCAAGGCACTTTGACTGTCACAAAACAGATAGACATACTCTTGATTGTGCCCAAGCTCCTCCAATAGCATTTTCAACCAAATTGCTTCTTTATTGGCTTGTGTAGCTGCTACATATTCTGCCTCTATTGTGGATGTAGCCACAACTGACTGCAATTTTGAAACCCAACTTACAGCTCCACCAGCAACTTTGAACACATATCCTGTAGTAGATTTGCTTTTATCCAAATCCCCTGCATAGTCAGAATCTACATACCCATTGATTAGTAAGTTTGATCCTCCGTAATATAATGCAATATTTGAGGTCCCTTTGATGTATCTCAGGATCCTCTTACTGTATTCCAATGCTCTTTGCCTGGAT